TCAAATGAACTGCCGCCGTCTCTTTAAAGCTAGTATTCCTCCCTGAGAATACTACATTAATTAAACATATGCCTCTTGCTTGTGCTCACTGTTGGTTGTCTCATTCATTAATCTGCTGATTAGTAATCCTGAACACTTGCACCCCCTCTCCTCTGTTTTTTTGCATTCCCCTTTTAATATACTATGCTGTTCCCCCAGGACATAAACTCCAGGCCCCGGCCCCGGCCTGCTCATGTTTGTTTTCTTTGCCCCTTTTGCCTGCCCCTGCTATAACATTTGTAGTATGTGTTAAGTAATCCTTAAGGTAACATTTTTATTATGCCATAAAAAGTGCATGGCAAATATATTATAACTCATGGACTTTGTTTAAAAATGAACGGGTAATTTATTGAGTGTGTTACATGAGCCTTGCTCCCTTCCCCATTTCAGCAGAGACCTGCTGCTCATTTAGCCCAGCCTCTTGTTGAGTGCTCCCACCCTGTGACATGCTGCGAAAGCAGAGCCATGGTTGGCTAGAAATGACATCATAGTTTATGTACTCAATAAAGATTTAATTAAGTCATTACAGGAATTGCAGTCATCATTTAACCCTCTGATTTCTTCTGTTTAGTTTATTATTAAACATTCAGTAATACCAGTCATCGAATCCTGATGGCTTATAAAATATCTGCATGAATTTTAACAGCTTAAATAAATGGGAAAATATGAGTAACTGATATAAAAGGGACCTTTCCCATGTGGTGGCTCAGTGTGTATGGGTTTTTATGAAAATCAAGGCACTATGGAAAGGATAGGATTTTAATAAGCAAGCAGCCAGCACTGTCTTCTGCTAAGGGATCTGTGTATTCATGGACAAGGTGCTCCATGGAGTGGTCTGGCACTGGGAAGATGGGGAACCTGCATACCAGCAAACAAAAGCTTAAGTGAGGGCGTAAAATGCAACGAGAGTTCAGCAGAGGGAAAGATCCAGCTCTGCTGGGCTACTGGGCTGGCGAGAATGTTTCATTCAGCCACCAGAATGGTGAGTGGACTGGTTCAGGAAGTTGCCGTCCCTGACCCTCACCTGTTTGCCTGCAGATCATATGTCTGCAGTGATTGAGCATCCAGTGTCTTCCAGGAAGGGTCCTTTTCATGATCTAATCTAGCCTGGGTGATGATAACTGAAAACCATGCCTCGCTGTGGCAGTTTTCTCTCTCAACTAGACGTGAGGAGAAGACGTAGCTCACAGGAGGTCACTAGAGTTAGAAGACCAGGAGGTAGAGGAGCCTTCCTGCTACAGAGCACCACTCCTGTACTTTATTTTACTGGACAGCAATCAACCAGCCATCTTCTCCTAGAGAAGGTGTATTTGTCTATATTTGGGCCTTGCTGGAAAGCAAGAGCCAGGCTTTGCAGAGTAGCATGTTAGTGATCTTTGAAAATGCCCTGCAGATGGTGAAATAGTAACATTTGCCTCACTCTAATCCTGGCTCTGAGGCTAGCTTGCTGTGTGACCTTGGACCCATCTCTTTCCCACTTTGAGCCTCATTTCATTATTTCCTCAGAGGCACTGAACCAGGTGATCCCTGAGGACCCTTCTAGTTCTAAAGTTAATGGTCATGATGTAACATAAAAGCTAGCTTTGCTGAGCAGGTTCAGTTAGTGTTTTCCTAGGTGTGGTGCTCTGCCTCAATGTTTTGACATCCTTCTCGTCCCTTTGTGGCTCTGGTACTCTTGTGCAGTTAAAAAAAACAGACATATAATAGGGAAGAACCCCAAAATGAGGATTAAGAGGGCTGGGTTGAAGTCTAATCCTTGACGATAGAAGGCAGGAACTCCAGTTCTGGCCTGTTTCTTGACTCTTTTACCACAGCACATATAAATGAAACAGTAGAAAGAAGTTTGGTAATATGTGTTTATGGAATTCCAGAAACATGGAAGGTGTTCAACAGCAAAAACAAAATCAATTCGGTTCATTGGACAGAACATGCTGTCAGTGACCTTTGCTCTTGCTTGTTTTGGATTTTGGCTTTTGTTGTTTGGGGTCCTGGGGATGGAACCCAGGGCCTCACACATGTTAGGCAAGTACCCAGTCACTGACCTCCATCCCCAGCCCTGAGTGGTGCTCTTGTAAAAGATTCAGTTATCAGCATGCCTGTCTTAGTCCCTGTCCTGGTGTTTGGGTGCCAAAATGATTCAATCTTGGTTCCTATGACCCAAGTTTGAGTAGCTCCCAGACTGGTGGGAGAGACAGGTACATAAGCAAGTCTACCCAGATTGTGTACCTAGGGGGAGAAGTGTATACACAGCTCTGAGAACACAAAGGAGTGATGGCTAAAGTGGCCAGTGCTGAAGGTGGGTGGGAAAGGTCATGGTTTACACTCCCAGCTACCACTAATCTCATATTTTCCAGCCTTGAATCGCAATTCTCTCTTCACTTTTGAAAACTGTCCATGACTGTAAAGTATTGGAACTGGTTTTAGTTTTAGTTTTATATAAACAAACCAGAAGGAATTACTCATAATTCCTTGCATTTGCAGAGCGCTCTGCAGTTTACCAAGACTTTCAGTATATGTTGTTAACTTAATGAATACATACTAACTTATTGGCTCTTGAAAACAGCTCTTGTGTGCAGGGCATTTAAAGAGAAGAAAATAGATTCAGAGAGGTTATTTGACTAACTCAAGATCACATCCAAAGTACATAGCAGAGCTATGATTGAACTCAGGTTTTCTGAGTCTAAATTCAAGTCCCTTTGCCTTTTTCTGCATATTCAGAGACCAGTTTGAAACCCCAGATAAAATCACTCAGCATTTGATTTATGACCTGTTATAGTTTGAATGTGAAATGCCCTTCCACAGGCTTATGTGGGTAGTCGGTCCCCAGATGATGGAACTGTTTTGGAAAGTTGTGGAACTTTTAGGAGGTAAGGCCTACCTGGAGGAAATGGATTGCTGGGAGACAAGCGTTGGAGATTATAACCCAGCTCACTTCTGGCCCAAGCTTTCTCCTTCCTGATCCATCAAGATATGAGCAAGCAGCCTAACACTTCCCTAGTAAATGCCTGCCATCCTACCTTCTATGGCATAGTAGCTCAAAACCGTAGACCAAAAGAAATCCTTCCTTATGTTACTTCTTTCAGGTATTTTATCATGGAGATGAGAATGTAACTATGACATGATCCAAAGTAGCTTATCCTCCTGGAAGGGTGGGGGCCTATGGACTAAGGAACATAGCTTTGAAAGAATGATATTTTCAGCTCTGTCAGTATCGGATAAGTCATTTCGCCTCCCTTGGTCACTTTAACACATCTAGCTCTGAATTCAGGTACAGATTAGAGGACATGATGTAGATAAAGCACCCATGACAGGTGCTCAGTAAATGGAGGTGATGGTGGGTATGGTTGTGGAAAGGATTCTTAAGCAGGACTCTCAATCTCCATTTGACGTTCTAAATGATGTTTGGCAGTTTCTTAGACCTGGCAGGTTAAATAACGTGAGTCCCTGTTGTATTCTGTGCTGGGCTTTCTGCTGGGGATTACAAAGAGCAAAACGTGGACCTTGCCCTCAAACAGACTACTTACTGCCTGGGGTGAGGGTCCAAGTTTTACCCCATTGAAGACATTCAGGGAACTGCATTCCAGGCACAAGTGTCTGAAGGAGTTTGTTGGTGTCTCATTAATCTTACAGGAATTACATTCCTAAAACAGTCTCTTAGCATTAGCAATGATTAATTCATTGTCATGTCATCTCCCCCTCCTTTCCCTGACAGTTACCTTCTCTTTGTCTTTCACCATAAGCTCTCTGAGCAACCCTGGAGACATTTCCTTCCCTGGTGCCCACATACTGTTCACTTACCTGACACGCCCTTAAACTTTCTCTTTTTATCCCCTCACTTCTGCATACCTCCTGTCCTGTCATGAATGCCTTTTCTCTTCAGCCTCCTCCTGTCCTGTCAGGCATCTTTTCCTATGTCCACTTAAAGATTTATTTTTATTTTTAATTATGTGTGTGCTTGTATGTCCATATATGGGTTTGTAGAAGTGAGTGCTGGTGCCCATAGGGGCCATAGGCGTTGGATCCCCCTGAAGCTGGAGTTACAGGCAATTGTGAGTTGCCCGAAGTGAGTGCTGAGATTCAAACTCTGGTCTTCTGCAAGAGCAGTATGTGCGCTTAACCATTGAGCCATCTGTCCAGCCTCTCCAAGGTTCACTTAAATGTTTCCTCCTAATGCAGTCTTCCTCAGCTCTCCAACAGAAGGCCATTTGCACTGAAATTCATTTGCTTTTGCACATTTGTAATAAGATTTGAGTTAATAGGTAACAATAGGTTTTTTTTAATAAAATTAAATTTATTTAATGTGTGTGTATGTGTGCATGTGTGTGTTTGTGCCACAGAGTGCATGTGGAAATCAGAGGACATTCTTGTATGCGTTGGTTCTTTCCTTCAATCATATGGGCCCTGGGGATTGAACTTGGGTCATCAGACTTGGCAATAAGTGCCTTTACCCACTGAGCCATCTCGATGCCCTTTTTTTGTTTTTTGAGACAGAGTCTTGCATAGCCAGCCTGGACACCTAATCAATCCTCCTGGACACCTCTTCCTCCCCAAGTGCTAGATTACAGGCATGAAAAACCCTCTATGACTTTGAACACCCAATCCTCCTGCCTCTACCTCCCAAATGCTAGGAATACAGGCATGAACTACCATACCTGGTGAGTAGCTTTTTAAATGCCTGTTTTCCTAGACTACACTGTGTGTTCCTCAATCAAGACATTGTTTCTATGTTTGTGTTCATAGGAGCTTGTACAAAACCAGACATGTAGTTGAAGGTCCATTCATTAAACTGGCTGCTTTGTGTAGTTTAGGATCAAAACCTAACATGTGGCAATTGTCTTAGGGAGAATCCTGACAGCTGAGGGAATTCAGAATGGACTGGCAGTTTAACTTGAGTTTCTTCTTTTTGTTCTAACATACTTTTCCTTTCTTTCATGCTTTTGTTTTTGCATTTGATTTTGTAGGTTAATTCCTATAACCTGAAGAAGAACATGATCCTCATGACAAATAATTTCTATGCGGCAATCTTGGGATACGATGAGGTAAGATCATTTGCCAAGCCATAGGCCTGGTCCAACAGAGGCTGGCAAGCCTTCCTCTTCCCTCCCTGCCTCCCTCCTTCCCTTCTCTCTTTTCTTCCCTTCCTTCCCACTTCTAACCTTAAAAAAAAGATTTATTTATATTTATGTGTGTCTATGTCTGTGTCTGGGTTTGGCTCACATGTGAATGCAGGTGCCCACAAAGGCCAGAAGAGGGCATAGATCCCCCAAAGCTGGAGTTCCAGGCATTTGTGAGCCACCAAATGTGGGTATTGGGCACTGTGTTTTTTGCAAGAGCAGCAGGCCCTCTTAACTGTTGAACCATTTTATTGTCATGTTGTCCCCCCATTGTGTCGTGTCATGTCCCCCCCACCAAACAAAGGCTTTTGATGAGAACATCTGAAGGAAATTTTCAGAACCATCTTCTCTGCTTGCCATTATTGCTTAGTATCAGTGTTTATTTCTTCACCTATATTGAGTGCTGGGAAAAGACAATTTTACAGAATTTGGTCAATCATTCAACTAGTTAGCATTCTTGAGTGCCTGCTGGGTGCTGGGGAGTGGGGAACCTAGGGGATAAAAGCAAGACACTGTTGCAACCCTGGCTGTTTCCAGAGAGGTTAAGATGTTCACATGTAAACAACAAGGTCTACCAGATGGACTCTACACTTATTTCATTTTCTTTGTAAAACAATACATACTCATTTAAGAAGTTCCCAAAACTGTGTGTAACTATTTGAAATACAAAATAAAAGACCTAGTTCCTCTTCTGCCCTAATTCCTACCTCGAAGGAAGACGTCATTCATAGTTCATTGGACTTCCTTCCAGATATTACCTGTGTGTGGACAAACGTCTGCTTTCTCCCCTGTGTGCATAGTTACACCACACACACTGCTTTTCAGATTGCATTATTCATTGACTGCATGTTGCGTGTTCATGTTCATGAAATCCATACTTGTGGGATGCTGGCTCCCCATTCCCTCCTTCCCCCAGCCCCTGGCAACCACCGTTTTATTTTGTCTCTATGAATTTGATTATTTTAGGAATCTCATGTGAATAGAATCTTTCATTATTTGTTCTTTTGTTACTAGCTTATTTCACCCAGCAAGATGTCTTCAGAATTCATCCATGTTGTATCCATGTCATCTGCCATTCCTCCAACTATTATTATGGAAATTTCCAGCATATAGAAAAGATAAAAGATGGTGTGATGAATACCTGTCAGCACGAGCATTCATCATACCTCACTTTTTTTTTATTTTATTTATTTATTTATTTATTTTATTTTGGTCTTTTTGAGACAGGGTCTCCCTGTAGCCCCAGCTGGCCTGGAACTCACTATGTAGACCAGGCTGGCCTTGAACTCACAGAGATCTGCCTGACTCTGCCTCCTGAGTGCTGGGATTAAAGGCGTGCATCACCACGCCCAGCTTATTCATTATTTTTATTTTATGTGTATGTGTGTATTGCCTGCATGTAAGTGCACCCATATCGTGCAATGCCAGGGGAGGACAGAAGAGGCTGTCGGATCCCCTGGAACTGGAGTTACCAGTTGTTAGCTGTCATGTGGGTGCTGGGATTCGAACCTGGGTCTTCTGCAAGAACAGTGTTCTTAATCACTGAGCCATCTCTCCAGACCCCATACCTCACTTTTTATTGATAAAAATTGTATGTTTGAACTCATTTTGTAGTTGGCTTGAGGTTTGACAGAAGCATCACCCCCCCTTTAGAAGTAGTCCCTGACCTTCCCCAAGCTTAGCTTGCAGCTCCTACCCTGGACTCTTACAGCACTTAAATTGACTCTCACCTGGCTGGCTGGGTGGGCATTTCTTCTAGGAAGTGACAGGGCATACTGTGTGTGTTTCTGCTATCTAGCATAGCTCTCGGAATGCGGGATGTGGGATGCAGGAGGTGAACAATGAGGAAGGGAAGAGATGTACCAGGTGGGGCTGGGGATGTAGCTCAGTTGGTGGAGTGCTTGCCTAACATGCACAAAGCCATGGATTCGATTCCCAAACTAAATAAAACCAGGTGTGATGGCACATGCTGTAACACCAGCTTTCAGAAAGTAGAGGCAGGAGTGTCAGAAGTGCAAGGTCATCTTCAACTAACTATTGAGTTTAAGGCCAACCAGGGATATGGAGACCCTGTCTCTAGATCAAAAAAGGAAAAGAAAAGAAAAAGAAAGAAATATAGAAAAGGGATGAAAGTAAAAAAAACCAAAGTTCAGGCTGGAAGAAATGTTATTTGCATAAATTAATAGGGATTAAAGTCAGGAGTAAGCTTGCCAAAAAATTAAACAGGACTGGAGAGATGGCTCAGCACTTAAGAGAACTTGCTGCTCTTGCAGAGGACCCACGTTTGGTTCCCAGCACCCACATCACAGCTCAAAACTATCTGTAACTCTAGCTCAAGGGCGACTGAAGCCCCCTTCTGTCCTCTGTGGGCACTATATACATGTGGTACACACAACATGCATGCAAACACTCATGTACATAATATAAAAGAAAAATAAAAACACTTTTTTAAAAAAATTAAACAAAAAGAAGAAAAAAACCCAGGAAATTATGTCACATGGTTTGGGTAGGGTCATGGGACAAATTGAAATCGGGGTCTCCTGATTCCTGGTCTGTTAGCTGTCCTCCATTATAAGAGAACAATTTAGGTTGCATACCATACATATCACTAACAATTTAGATTGCATACCATATCACATCATAGAAGTTTTTTGGGTGGTGGGATTAGAACTGAGAAACATTTCTTAAATGTATATATTAGTTGTTAAATTAGATGCATTCTGATTTCAGAAATCTTACAGTATATTTAAAAAAAAGAGAGAGGCCTAGCATTGAAGAAATAGAACTCGTAGCATTTGTGAGTGCTCTCTAGCATTTAAAGTGACTGATGGCTCAGTAGAGCTTTTTTTTTAAGCAGTATTAATAAAAAATGTCGAGCCAGGCATGGTAGCACTTGCCTGTAATCCCAGGACTCGAGAGGCAGAGGCAGGTGGATCTCTGTGAGTTCGAAGCCACCCTGGTCTACAAAGTGAGTTCCAGGCCAGCTGGGGTGACAGGGAGACCCTGTCTCAAAAAGACAAAGACCGGAAAAAAAAAAAAGTCCTGAATCATATCATATCTGTGCTCTGTTCCCCACCCAGTTTGTTTTGGCAGAGCCATTTTACCTGAACATATCCAATTAGAACAGTCATGTGTGGTGCCTTTTGCTTTGTTTAGTTTAGTTTAGTTTAGTTTAGTTTAGTTTAGTTTAGTTTAGTTTATTGAGACAGGGTCTCAGACATGCTGTGTGGTTGAGGATGGCCTTGAATTCCTGAGCTTCATGCCTTTACCTTTACAGTGCTAGGATTAGAGGCATGAACTACCACACTGGTTTGTACAGTGCTGGGGATTAAACCCAGGGCTAGGCAAGCACTCTGCCAACTCTGGTATGTCTCCAGCCCATGGGATGCTTTTTAAATTCAATCCCCAAACCTCTCTGAAGGCTTACTCCAGTAGGAGAGTGACTGGTGCTTTAGTAAGCACCCAGGTGACACGAAGTTTGGGAAACATGTTAATTATTTGGAATACTTTCTAGAAATACAAAACTCAGGTTCTTATCTCCTAAAAGTTCTGTCTTAATTGGTATAGCTGGGCATCTGTGATTGTAAACATTCTCAGATAATTGAACTGTGGGATTCCAGAATGGTTTTTCTTAAATTTTTAAAGTGCACGTGTATCCTGCAGAAAATGAGGTAAAATTCATGTTTGGACTCAGCAGCTGTGGATTGGGGCCCAGGAGCTGCATCTCAATGTGTGTAGCCGTTTTCCAGATGAGTCTTAGAATCACAAGGTTCTAAAACTAGCCACGTGTTGCTATTTTGGTTTGATTCAATAAAATGAAATTTCCAGTTCCTCCTCATGCTAGTCCCATTGATGCTCCATAATGGTGTGTGGCCAGAGGCTGCTGTGTTGGACAGTATAGGTGCAGAGGAAGTTCTGTTGGGCAGCCTGTTCTACAGCTACCTCTTACACTCGAGCTTGCATTGTATTCCCTCCCTGAACACTTTGGAAACCCTCCTGTTTTCCTGCTTTATTAAGAGGTCCACATCACTTCATGATATTACAGGCCTTCTGTGAATTGTGTTATTGTTTCATGCCCTCTAACCTTTATCTCCCATTATCTGTCCTCCAAGGGAGGCCTTTGGCTCACTGCCCTGCAGAAATGTTGACGCTGATTAATATTGTACTGGACGTGGGGTATTGAAGGCAGTAGCTGAGTATTTGTCAGTTGATACTTAAAGAACACTATGTATTTCATGCATTTCCTCTCTTGGGTAGAATGTCTGCACTTCCCCACATCTTCCCCAGTTTTTTCTTTTTTATATATAAAT